TATACTTCCTTTGGGCATCTTATCTATTCCTGATGTGAAGCTAATGGATCCAGCATTGGCCATTCCTACTATCTCTGTAACAACTTATTATAGTTCCAGTTTTTTTTTGAAAGAGTAGGAATAAGGGGCTAAGGGTCCATTAGCTTCACATCAGGAATAGATAAGATGCTCAAAGGAAGTATAAGAGAGTCTCCATTTGACCAGTTTGTTGGAAAGAACACAAAATGACTTGTGGAAAAGAAGGTCAAGTATGACAGTTTCTGTGGAAGATTTTGAAGAAATTTCAAAATTACTAAGGTCTACCAATACTTTAAAAAAATCATTGATAAGGTACCTCACAAAATATTCTACAAGATAGGATCTGCTGCAGTAGTTTGTTATGATCTCCATAAGACCCATAACTTTTGAATTGAGTTACACATTTCCCAGTGATCAACACAAAGGGTTCATAGAACAATATTTCATTTTTAAGACTTTTCCTGTAACAAACAAGCTGAAATCAACATCAGACTCAACATTACTTTGAAAGCAACACTTTCACTAAACTCTAGAAAATGTATTCCCCATTAACGTCTTAATACAACTGTAAACCTCACACCTTGACACGTTCTCAGTAGATACACAACATTGTAGTTAAAGTTCTACATTTCTCCTGACATTGAATTGGTTTTTTACTCGGTCCATTTTTCAGTGTCCTTTAAAACAAAGTGCTTTTCACTTCATTTTCTAAGCATACTTGAATAAACCTTACTCAGCTAACATATCCTCCGATAATGCTTTAGTTTCTAACTCTCTACAATCCTTATTTTCTTGAACAGGGAATCCAATCCAACCAGCACTTCACTTGATGATTGACCCTAAAATAATCCTTTTCCTTTGTCCATAGCAATGCCTGTTGTGTGTCTCTTTCCCCAAACTCTCATTCTGATTGCCCCTGAGAATCCTCCTTCTCTGCCTCCTTCTCTGTGTCCAGCTGTTAAAGTTTACACATGACTTTAAATCGGTTTCAGTCTGGGCCCTTATTCCTGTGGTAATTAGGTCACATGGATTTGGCTCTGGATGCAATACATATGACATCCTGTGCCCCTTTCCACCGTTCCATTTAACAGAGACAGTTAAAAACTATCTTATAAGTTCCAGAGGTCATAACAGAATTCAGAGTTGACTAAATACATTTGAACAAGAAGTTGCCGTTGTTAATTGATTTAGATCAGCTTGGAGGTTGGTTACAAGTGTGACTGACAGGGATGGATGTTAAGAACCTTTACTTCTTACTATCTTCATTAGTAATCGAGATATAGGGGTTGGGATAATAACCCACAGATTTGAGAATGATACAAAGCTATGTGCAAGAGTTAGAACTGTGGAGCATGGCAAACCCTGCAAGCAGATCTTGGTATGGATTTACATTGGGAAAATTATGTTTAATCAAGAAAAGTATAGAGTTAACCATGTGGGCAATTCTAATGTTTGATATACATATACCCCACAGGAAACAGGATTGAAGCCAGGAGTGAAAGAAAACAAAACCAAAGTTCAGAATCAGTTCTGAGGAAGGGTCACCGGACCCGAAACGTTAACTCTGTTTTCTCCTCCACAGATGCTGCCAGACCTGCTGAGCTTTTCCAGCAACTTTGTTTTTGTTCCTGATTTACAGCATCCGCAGTTCTTTTGGTTTTTATTTTGTGAAAGAAAACAATCTAGGTATCACAGCGCATTACTCTGTAGAACTTTATTTAAAGCTTTATGGTTTTATCCAAACAAAGCATACAATGTTTCCTCATACAAAACCTTGATTAAGGCTCATTTAGAATACTACGCCCGGTTTTGGTCCCCTCACATCATAGGGGATATGAAGGAAAGGGTGGAGAAAATGGTTCAGTTTAAGCCATCCGGATAGGTTTGAAAAGCTGGGACTGTAACTTTAGGGAGCCGATTTGATCAAATCTCATAAAATGAGAGACTTAATTGAACTTATGTCAGCAAATTATTTCAACTGGATTTATTGGAGGATTATAGTTTATACTTACAAGTAACGTAAGGACAGATAGAGTTTGGAGTCTTGGGCACTTATTCTTCATCCAGAGACTAGTCCTGTATCTAAGTCAAGTAAAGATTCCATTCTGCTCGAGGTTGCCTCATGCCATGGAATGCCTTTCATTCAAGTGTATGGGCCCAAAGCTGGAAAGTGGGATCACTATAGATAGACCGGCACAAACTTAATCAGCTGACTGGCCCCTTCTGTGATATATGA